TTGTTCTTGGTCATACACCCTACATTACTCTTCATCCAGATTACAGAGAACTATTTCCATCTCAGTAAACAGATTCCACTTACTTACACTGGAAGAGGACTGGCCTCAGTTTAGCCTGTAAATCTGAGTAAACCACCTATGAGTTTACTGACTGATGAAAGGATCAGAACTCGAAGGATTAGCAAACTGGACTGAAACTGACATTAAACCTAAGATGAAAGCTCTTCTGAAAATTAAGAGTCTCAGGAGAAAACTAGGAGATTCAAAAGCTTCGGAGTGTACATTGATTCAACAAAAATGTAATTACGCTACAAGAGAAAAGACATATTAAGAGACATAAGCAAGACTGCTGTGGCCTGAATAAAAGAGATCCTGCAAACATAATTCAATAATTTTGTAGGAGATGAAATTAAGCTCTGAAATATTAGTGGATTCATAAAAAATAGTACATGCTATAGAACCTTTGAGTTTCAGTACCTGAATGAAAACCACAACTAGTGACAACCAATGTGTTTTGCCAGTGGCACAGCACAACATCAGATTCTAGAAACATTCTTCATAGGAATGCAATGGAAATCTGATTTTTACGTCCCACATTTATTGCCAACTTTAGAAATATACTAAAATGTGCTCAGAGGTGTCTGAATTACATTTATTAATATGTTATGACATTTATCAACTGGAGAAAAGTTTAAAAAAGTCATATGCTAGAAATCTAGAAAACACCTATTTATCTTAGCCACATTAGTTGGAATACTACAGGCAGAGCTAGCTAGGAATTTTTAAATGTAAATTCTTTCAGTACATTCATCTGACTGTTTGCAAAAATGCATTATTTTTCATGTATTTTTGATTGTAAAAGTAGCTCAAATCAATAAAAAAAATCTAGTGCAAGTACTGGTGAGAACAGAAGCAAAGACCTCCACATTTCAAAATAATCCATAGTCTTTCATCAATGACATCTCTCCTTGCCCAGAAAGAGACAAAAAAATGCATTCAGAAAACATCCAGAAGAGACTGTTGAATATTTCTTAACTTACCGAGTTGTTTTCAGAATACATTTAAATTCAAGTCTGCAATCCTAAGTGGACAAGAGCTTCCTTTGTTCCAGTTCTTCTCTTATTGCAAAATGCAGGCTGATGGAAACTGAAGAACATGGCTATATCTTTTAGTCACTGACCTTGTAAATCTCAGGGGGAAAGACTTAAATTACAAATGAAAACAGCCTATGGTTTTGATCAAAACCTTCTGTAGAAAATAAGCATATATTCAACATAGCTGTAGTTCATTTGAAGAACGGATCTGTAACTCTACGTGTCCCCAGATGGATGTTCGAACTTATGTTCAGAATACTTAAAAATTTTCAACTGTCTCCTTACGTTTTTCTATCATGATTAACCGTGCAGCTGTAAATCCTGCTTAAGTGTGTAGTTAGACAATTCCTAACGGTAGAAACAAAAGGTCTTAGGTTTGCACAGCTACGTACAATTGAGGCCACAGAGGCCCACGAATCACAAAACATCTCTCATCTCCTTTCCTTCTAATTCTCCAGGCACTCTAGAGATGAGGGAAGCTGTGCAGGGTCTGGCCCTTAGCAGCAGGAGTTAGAAGTGTGAAGAAGTACTGATTAAATCAGAACATTTTATAATACTGCCAAGTGTCCTGAGTGCATGAAAATGTGATACCTTTGCCTTTTTTTTTTAATACACCTATTTCTTTTCATCTTTTCACTTCCTTACTAAAGGGCTCTGCTTAATATTTTCCAGGTGGACATATGTACAAAAGCTTTTGCAGTAATGACTGATGGACAGGATGTGTCCTCCAATTAAATGTTACCTCTGGGGCCTTTTCCAAAATACACCTTCAGTGGTTACAAAAATGTATCTTCTTATACCTTTTCAGTTCACCTCATCCTTGCATGGAAAACTTCTGATATTTTTATTAGTTTAATTTTCCAGCCTAAATATAGGATCGTAAGATAAACCATTAGACTGTTGAGGAACTCAGATTTCTTTCTTTAACAGCTCTTACAAAGCAGCAGCTTCTTCAGTGCTGCCAATCTATATGGGATATATTTATTTTAGTTTTTTATTTGGATATCACCATTAATGTTGTTTTTTCCACTGTCACATTCAATCTGTGTGACATCAGCATGTCACCAATAGAACAGATGTCACTGTATTATGGTCTTTTTTCTTTTTTTTTTTTGTTGAATTGTAATTAGTGATCTGGTCTGCCTTGACGTGCTACAATTTACTTGCAGCAATATAGGCACTCTGATGGGGACAGGGTGATATAACCTAGAGTGACAGCCAACAGAGTGGCAATAATCTACTAAAATATTTGAAACTGAAAAAAGAAAAATCTATCTCGCTTAGCTACGCAGCCTGAAGGATCAAAGGATGCCAAACAGTCTTCTTTCTGTCTGAAAAACACATGCTGTTGTACAGCAAAATGGTGCTTGGACTTGTTAATGGCTACTTGAATCACTAGCAGCAATCATGCTGTAAAGATATTTGGGAGGTCAGCATAATACTACTGTAATTTATTCTAACACTGTTTCAATAACTGGTTTAAAACTAGTTAAAAACTATATATATTTAAACACTGGACCCAGGTCGCATGATTTGACTTCAATTTGGATATAAGATAGAGCTCCTTTTATAGTACCTGACATTGTGTCACTAATAACATGGCTGCTGGTAGTAAGAGGCTCAAAATGCCATTTGTAGTTAAAGTCTCTATTTTCAGATACACTGTCTAGTTTATTCATGCAGAGAAGTCATTTTACCTTTTGACCTCTCTGCTGGGCTGAACAAAATGAGTGAAGACATACTTTAGCAGTCCTTATAGTTGAGTGAATTGTGACTGCAGCTGAAATTGCCATAGTCTCCTGTACTACTCACATTAATTTATCTGTAATACACTTGGCCAAACCATTCCATTTCAGATATTTACTTATTTTTTGTTTAGATTTATAGTAAAGTTAAAAAATTAATGAGGTAGAAAATCAAAGCTTTCTAGAGCATTTTAATCAGATGTAGAGTACTGCTACTGCAATGCTTCATGCTGGCCCAGGTTTTAAAATAGGTTTTTTCCTTAACAAACTGTTTTCATTCATCTGCTTAATTACTCTTTACAGCAAGGAATAACTTAACTGAAAGTTTAACCATAAGCCCAAGCTTAAAAGCATTGCCAAGGTAGGGCACAATTCCCAACATTTTCTCCTCCAAATCACAGAAATCCTATGGAAGTTCAGTGACCTAATAATAGGCCCTTAAGGGTCTTGTAGAGATGCCACATGTCTCTATTCCTCCTTGATCTTTTAGGGAGCTGAAAGTATCTAAAAGCGTACTGGATTGAGTCCTACCTGATAAAGCCTGACTTCATCCAAAAAGTTTGTACCATTGTTTTCACTGGTACTTCCCAAATCCTGGAGTATCTGTCAGAGCACTCGCTGGAAGCTTGCTGGAAGCTGTGTTAGTAAAAACAGCATCTCTGGGGGCTGGAAAACTGAGTAGGTTATAAGGAATTGTCACAGAAGTCACAATAAAGTTAAGCATGACATTGATAGACACAAGAAGAGTAGCACATCACTCAAAAATTATTAAAAAGTCAAAGGTTCTGAAAGGATCTGAAAAAGCTTTAAAAAAGGCTAGCCATAAATATAGCTAACCAAAGAGAATACCACAGGAATTAATGGTCAAATCCAGAGATTACTCTGAAGAACAGCAGGTGCTGGGTGAACAGCAACACATGAGTAACTGTAGACCCACAAAATGTAAATTAAGAAAAAGTCAGAGGAACAGGTCACTGTGGTGCTGAGCTGAACAAAGGGACCGGAAGGGTAAGCACTGGACAGGACATTGCTGCTGCAGCTTTCACTGACTCAGTCGTGTCCACAGGCAGTGCTGACAAAGCAGTACAAGGTGAATTTGCTAATTCATGGCAATCTGCAAATAAAATGGATTCATGAGTGTCTAGGAGAGTCACGTCACTATTTTGGATAAACAGATAACATGGTATTAACTGATGTGCCCTCTCTTTATCTCCACTAGCTTTATGTGACCTTTATGGCTTGAATGTCTAGGTTAATGAACCTATTACCTATATTATGACTTTTTAAGAGAAAAAATTTGAACACAGAGCTGTTCAAATATCAACAATCACATTGACTTTTCATATATATATTTTTTTTTCACAAAAGTCATGTAAGTAAAAAAATTAGGCAGACGCATTTTAGCTTCATGTGTGTATTCATATTTTACTGCTTTAACAAATTATTATTCTACTTTCAAATAGTATTACTTGTGCATGATGCTTAGGGCTCTTTATTTAGACATTTATTAGGGCTAAGACACAAAGAATCACAATAAGAATTTCTCTATTATATACATACTCTGTACATAATTCTGTAGATAGATATTCTGCATATACATAAAGCCACACACATAGAGCTTGCAAATTCACAGTATGAGAGATTATGAGCAACCCATTGATTCACAATGAGCTTGCGAGTCTGGACCGACGCCAAGACAAAGCACCTAAGGCCCGTACGTTCCCCGGAGGCAGAAACCCGGCCCTTGTCCGCCGGCCATCTGTAGAGATCAGGAGGCCGAACGCACGCCG